ATGTACTTACTAAAATTACAACGTACACACACTAGAACTAGTACTAAGAGGCAGGGCAGGCAGGGGGGGTACAAGTGTTTATGCACTTCGATTGCATGTCTTTGGGCCCGATGCGGCTCCAATAACCAAGTTTCCATCCTGCTCTGACTTTGCTGCTGCTGCTACCCGCTCACCCTGTGCTTGCTGTTGTTGTTGCTGTTATTTGCAAAAGTTATTCATACGCCACGTTGACAATAGTAGAAAATGCAATTTATGTTGGAAAAACATTGCGTAAGTGCATCTGAGGCGAAATTCAAGTAGCTGCCAGAACCCCGCAGACAACAGCAGCAGCAGCAGCAGGAGCAGCAGGAGCAGCAGCAGCAAGAGCAGAAGCAGAAGCTGGTCCTGAAGCTGTTAGAGGATAGAACCCAGAGCTGGCAGGCACATGCAAAAGGCTCAGGCGGTGGCAGGCAGTCATGTAAAAGCGTTGCCATATAAAACATCTAGAAATTCCAATAAAATTTTCATGCAATTTTCCTCATACTCGTACTCATACTCGTACCCGCTTACACATGCAGAGTGAGCTGTGTTCTCCAACATACCCATACCCCATACCGAGGCCACATCTTATGCTGCTGCTGCTGCTGCTGCTGCTGCTGCTGCTGCTGCTGCTCCTTGCTGCCAGGGGTAGGAAGGTCTATGGCTCTTAGAGGCGCCTGGCCAACTCATGGCTTATGCCGCCCTCACTGAACCCTCAGTTCACAGCAGACGACGAGTGTACTACGTACGGTATGTGGATGTATGGGTGTTTGTGGCAAATGCATATCTTAGACACTCAATAAGTAAAATAAACAATGCCAAGAAAGTGCCAAAATCAATTTGCTTTCTAAATGTCAGCCAGTGTGGAAGTGCACTCATGCTGGGGGGGAGGCGGAGTCTTCAAACAATCATTTGGGCCAAGGCCACAGATAAACCAAACCAAACCAAACAGAAATGAAATGAAATGAGAGAGAGTACTGCAAACATTGCTGCTGCTCCCACCTGGCCATAAATAACAAATTAATTGTGACTCACATAACCTTTGATAGCCCCAAAATCGATATCCACAGCCACAATTTAAGCTACCAATTTTTACAACGGAGCCCTACAATTTATGCAGATGGATGGTGCAACAAATAAATTGTTATATAGTACTCGTATATGCCCCATTTTCTTTTTGTAGTTTTCTGCTGTTGTTGTTGTTGTTGGTTTTCCTGCAAATCTTTTGATGTGGCTGCCACATTAAGATTTGTGTATAAAGTTGATTGAAGCGGGCCAGCAGTCCGGGCTGGTCAGGCCAATTTAGCAACGCTTAGCCACAGAAAGGGGATTCTGGCTGGGGCTGGGGCAGAGGGCACGAAGCGGGGTTGGGCTTCACCAGGGTGTCCATCTGAAGGATGGACAAATTTCATTGGACGTGGCGAAAAATTTCATTTAAAATATATTTTGCACACATCACAAGTGCGGGCAGGCTGCAAGTGTAATTTATGCGTCTTTACACAGATACTCGGATACAAATACACACACACACAAACACACATAGTAGCAGCTACACACAGCAGCAGCTACACTCGGCTACACATTTAGTGAAAATGTGTAATGTTGACCCGATGGCAGGCAGTCAGGCCAAGAGCTGGGAGCTGGGGGCTGTCAGGCTGGTTGGTACTGGCGCTAGCTCTGGATAGCTCTGGATGTCCTGCCAGCCATTGCTCGACGCTTTTCATTTTTCTGTTTTGGGCTAAAATACCAAATTACGACATAAATAATGCATAGATAACGAAATTTATTACATTTCATGTATCAGGCAGGCAGGCAGGCAGGCAGGCAGAGGCAGGCAGTCAGAGGCAGAGGCAGGCAGCGGCAGGCAGAGGCTGGATGGCGGACAGTCGTGTCGACCAGTAGCCAGGACTCTGGGACTCTGGACAGTCCTGAACCAGCCACGTCCGGCCCCAGCCCTTAGCCGGGTAAAAGTTTCACATCAAACAGCCGGCAAATGCCGGAGCTGCTGCAAATGTTTGAGCGGGGGGAGTACAGGGGGACACTGTCGTCCTGGGCGTCGCCTTCTTAATTTATGGCTCATGTTAGTTTCTCTGATTTGCCAGCAAAAGTTTATCGTGTGGCATTTCGCTATTGTTGCTGCTGCCTGCTGCTGCCTGCAGCCTGCAATTTAAAAATGTAATTGTTACAGGCATTAATCGACTTCGAGGCCACAGCCCCCCGCACCCCACACAGATTACTCGTACAATGAAAATTCATATATTCAAATTTCAATGGAATTACGCCTCGAGCTGTGGCTGTGGGAGTGCCAGCACCTCCCTCCACATCATCATCATGATCATCGTGGGATATGGTTGTTTATGCTATTAAAATTAAGTTAAATGCAAAACTTTTTTGCGGTTCGACGCTTGGCAGGGCACGTTGCCTCGGCTTCTCAGCTACAGCTTCAGTTTCAGCTTCACTTGATGTGGATGTAGATGTGGATGCGGATCTAGATGCGGATGTCTTGCTCATATCGCTGCCAGTTTGCTTATAATTGCATTTGCATATTATTTCCCTTTTATTGCACATGTCGCCCGGCTTGACATGCCATCACTTCTGGAGCTGGCGCTGGTGCTGGCGCGGGTGCTGGAGCAGGGGGCTGAAACCCTTAAACCATTTATTTTTTTTGCTTCACTCTTTTTTTTACCCACTTTTTCGCTGCTTTCCTGCTGGCTGCTTGGACAGCCATTTTTATTTCAGTAAAAATGCTTATAAAATGCTGGCACGCTTCCGGCCACAGCAACAGCAACAGCAAAAGAGTTAAAAGTTAAGCGTTTGTTGCTGAGAAAAAAAATAAAAATAAATTATACCAAAATAATTTGCATATAAATTATGATTGAAGAAGGAGCTGCGGTCGGGTAGGGGGGCCCGGGGTCAGCAGCAAAGGTGTCAAGCTGAGTGAAGACCGCAAAGCCATACAATGAAAGCGATAAAGGGCTTTACGCTGCCTCGAACCTAATCAATTGTGATGGCTGATGGCTGCCCATCGCCGTGCGAATATTGCAATAAATATACGCAAAGAGCACTGCAGATGCGCGTCTAACTGCAGTGTCAATAGCTTAAGAGTCACGTCACCCAAAAAGCCACTGCCACGGACAGGCAGCAACAGTTTCAGTTTCAGTTTCATTGGAAACTTGGAAATGTGCCGCAATATCCTGCACACTTGTCAGCATCGGCATCGCAATCCTCGTCCGCAGGTAAACAATGCTAATGCATACTTTGGCTCAGGAACTTTTCTTTGGAGAGAGAACGTGGCAGGTGGATATGGCAGAGGGCTGCACTTCCGGCACGCATGAGATGGCGGACTTATGTCGCTGCTCGTCAGCATCAAGAATGTGAAGATTGGACTGGGGATTGCGATTGGGATTGGGATGGGGATGGGGATTGGGATTGCGACTGGCAGGGAGAGTGTAGTGGAGTGGAGTGGAGGGATAAACGGTGCACGTGTTTCCCTTTTTAGGGCTCTGAAATCAAATCTAAAATGAATTTACCTTTGTTGATTTGCGACGACTTTTGCATTTTGGCTTATTATACAAACACAGATACAACACACAACCACAGAGAGGTAGAGAGAGAGAGAGAGAGAGAGAGAGAGAGAGAGAGGGACACTAACGGCTCTTGTTGATTTGCTGGCAAACCCCTAGCGATTGCTTGCTCGGATTTCGAAATGAGCTCAAGACAAATGTAAATATTTTTTAGTGCTCACTCAACGCAATGAGACAGGGACAAGGACTGACTGCAGAGGGATACACTAATACTATAGTACGTACGTTACGGGATCTATATATATGTGTGTGTGTGTGTGTGTGTGTGTGTGTGTGTGTGTGTGTGTTTGTATGCTCTTGGGTTTGGGTCTTATGATGAATGATTGTGTGCTTCCTTCTGTAGATTTGTAGCCGCCGATAAACTCAATTTGTTTGCGCTCAACTTGGTAGTGGGGACTTTGCCACCACTCCATGCCATGCCCACTTCTTGCCACTCCAGTGTATTGTCGAGTGTGGGGCCGAGGCGTGCCAAGGGCTCACATTACGCATACGCCGTGTTGTCGCTCTTGATTTGCCATTTGAAGACGCTCGCACGCTGCTGATTGTCAAAGTTTTTTTTTTTTAAAGCCGATACGAGCACTAGACTAGCGCTTTAGTGTTCTGTTCGCATCAGCCACATCAGAAGCCACCCCCTCGCCATCCTTAAGAACTTGTCGTGAAGAATTTATTTTCAATTTGATGAGAATTTCGCTTTTTGTCGCCCATTTCTGTGTTTTCATGTCTTTTGTATTGCGATTGTTCTGTGTGTGTGTGTATGGTGTGTGTGTGTGTGGGTGTTCGTTGTCTTTCCTTTAGTTTTATTAAGCCAACTTCTAGCACTTTTACGACTCTGGCCATAACTTATGCTCCCCCGTCAACGCGATGGGCCATATACTTTTTACTTATTTTCCAATTATTGTTGATATTTTTAGCTTCCCCGTTCTTTCTTTATTCCTCAATTTATTTTATCCCTTGTCCTGAGTCCTGCGAAAGAAGTGCGCATTTAATTGCTTTACTCGTCCTGGAACCTGTGGAATTGTGCGCTGGGGACTGGTGGCTGCGAAAAATTATTAAATGCTATTTATCACTGGGAGGCGACAACGGAAATGTGTCTCTGACACTTACAAGAATGCCAAAGGAGTCGACCGGGTGGCTGGGTGGCCGTGTGGCAGGGGGTGTGGCATGTGCAGAGCTACTAAGGAAATTGGCAGCATCTTGGATGGAAAAAAAATTGCACTTGAGGAAATTAAAAGTTGCATTTGAATGCCATGCACGAGCCATAAAAACTAATATCCGCTGCACAGATTCTCGCCTTATCATCATGGCAGCTTATTGTTTGAGTCAGCGGACGTAGAAAGTAGCCGTGGGGGGTTAATAGTTTATATAATTTTATCTATTTCAAAATGATTAAACATGTAAATGAAGTATTAAAAATATTAAAATAAAAGATACTTTTCAGCCTAAAAGTATGCCACAACACGAGGATCGCAGTCGCTGATACTGCCAAAAGGTAGGCAAAGATACAAATAAAAACTTCAAAGATACATACATATGTACGTACGTATGTACACATGTATGTAGACCTGTAAAATACATGTAGAGACAGACAGTAAAAATCTGCTGCCCTAGACATAGAGCACAAACAGGGCCGCAATGGATGCCAAGAAGGCCATAACCGTCGAGGCATAGAGCACGGCACAGGTGGTACCCATCCAGGAGACAAGCGGCCCCACAGAGACGGAGACAATCAGTTGGGCAATGAACACAACGCTGCTGATAATGGCCACATCCGTGCCCAGACCACGGGCCTGTTTCAGCGGCAAAGTCTCTCCATTCCGCATACGAAACTATGGAAGAGAAAGACGGTACATGAAACAGCATGAAACAATCGAATCGTATTGTGCTTACACAGTTCTTGGCATGGTATCGGGCGACCAGAATGAAGGGCACTGTAAAGATGGTGCCATAGAGTATGCCCGCAGCTGTGCTAAAGACCAGCACACCCCATTTGGTGGGCCAGAGTCCGAGGATGAGCATGCCAATGGCATAGTAGATCATGCCGCTGATGTACACAGCTTTTGTGCTGGAAAAAGGCAGCGGATAAGTTTGCTCAGAACACAGGAAATATCCCATATCAAAGTAAAGTAAAAAGACTTACCCAAACCACTTCATGAGCTTCGTCACTGAGAGCGAGTAAATCGAACAGGAGAAGGCATAGATGGACATGCCCCAGCAGCCAAATCGGACGCCAGCCTCGTAGCGGAGGTATGCCTCCGAAGTGGGAGGCGCTGTCGGATCCCCATTGTACACAGCCTCGCCCACAAAGTCGGTGAAGTAGAGGCAATAGGTGACGTGGCCCATCCAGCACAGGAGATTGGTCAGCGCCAGCATTCTCATGGAGTAGGGCATAACGACGATGCTCTTGAGGTAGGCACTGAGCGACACAGGCGGCTCAGCCACCGACTGCGTCTCCAGGTCTTTTCTGGCCTTCTCCAGGGCCGGGGAGTATCCATTCTGGTAGCTTCCCTGCAGTGCCTCGGCACGCTTGGCATCGTCCGCGACCATTTGCAGCTCCAGCTGCGTCGTCTCCTGTATGTAGTAGATGGCATTGTTGTTCTTCTTCAGCTCCTTCTTGACGGCCGCATCGGACATGGGCCGCAGCAGCTCATCCTTCTCCATCAGCGGCAGGGGAATCTCCCGGAACGTGGTCACCGTGATGAAGTAGCAGATCACAAAGATGATCGTCACCAGGCCAAAGACCGTGGGTATATTGCCGCCCAGGAAGCTGCCAATGTGCGTCCGCTCCCAGTCCACGCCGCCGATGGCATAGCCGATGGTGCCCCCAAAGCCGGCAAAGAGCGCAAACATTGTCATGGCCTTGGGCTGCTCCTCGGGCACACACATGTCCAGCAGGTAGGTGCGGGCCGGAGTCTGGCAGGTGTCCGCATCAAAGTCCAGCATAACCATGCCCAGAATCGTGAGGATTACGGCGTACTTGTAGTCGGATGCCGATGGTCCCGTTGCCTCCTCAGAGGCGGCGGCCATCAATGCCGCCACCGAGCCTTCGCTGACGAAGCTCGTGATATTGGTGACGACGGCCTCCGTGTAATTGTAGCCCACATCGCCCAGCAGCACGCCCAGATCCTTGCCGTAGGGCACCAGGATGAGGCCGCAAAATATGCCAAACGATAGTATGGAAATGATGGGGCGACGTCGTCCCCAGCGCAGCTTGCACCGATCACTGATGCTGCCCAGCAGCGGCGATACAAAGAATCCAATCAGTGGCGACAGTCCCCAGGCCATGGTCATGACCTTGTGATCGACGCCGATCGACAGCAGGATGGGCGACACGAAGCTCGTCTCGGCCGCATAAGCAAACTCAATGGCCATGGCAATGGCCGACAGCCGGAACATCTCGAAGCGTGTCTTACGGCGAAAGACATGCGAGTAGTCCTCATCCTGCTCCTTGGCATGGTTCTCCCGCGTCTTCAGCATGTACTTGATCATGGGATTCCTGGCCGAGGACAGCTGATCCGCCTGCGAGGGGTCCACCGCGACTCCAACCATATTGAAGGAAAGGATGCTGTGGGAAAATGATTGCAAAACATTGATTAATAATGGTCTCAATATCAGTGTCAGTATCTTCATCTCAATCTTGTAATTAGCTGCAAAAATATTGTGCCAAGAGAACTACAATCGTGGAGTGGAGTGGAGTGGAGTGGAGTGGCGGGGCGTGCCGTGCCGCTTTGTTTTCCAGCGCACAAAGAAAACAAAACATTGAATCGAATTATGGAATAATGGAAACATCTGGAGCGGCACGTCGAAGAAGCGCGTGCGAGTGAGCGAGCGTCAAAGATCTCTTCTCTGATTAATTGAGCTACGCGGTCAGCGAAATATCAATTTGGATTCAATTGCAACGAGGTCCATTGCCCATCCGTCCGCCTGTCTCTCTGTCCGATTTTGTGTCACTTGCCTTAAGCAATGAAAATTATCTCTCCTTTCGCTTTATTTGTTGATCAACAAAAATGCAATCACAGCACAAAAAAAAAAGATAATTGGGAATCAGCAAACGAAACGAAACCCCCGAACATTGCTGGAGTCTATCGTGTTGGAGGAGTCGTTCTGGGGAATGCTCACCTTTTGCACTTAGCTGTCAATTATGTCAATTTATGGATACTCGTATATTTCTAGTGTGCTGTTCGTACATTCACTTCTGTTTGAACTTTACAATTAGCCACATTTTTGTGTAATTCATAACACAAATTATTGAATTCAATTACTCGCGTCTATCGTTAAGCAAACTGATCTTTAACTGATCAAATGTAGCCGCGACACGAAAACCTTTCCGAAACGTCTCGTGTTCAAAACGCAACTGAGTCTGGGTCTCGTTTCAGAGGTCTCTGTGGGGTCTCTGTGCGGTTTCTGTGAGGTCTCTGGGCTGCCCCATGTCTCCGAGGGCTCTGTCTTTTTTAAAGCCATTGACCAAATCTTGTGTGGTGTCGTGCTAAACTTATCAGCTCGACACTATACACCATACATACGTGTGCGAATTATAATAATAACAATAAATGCTGGAATAAATTTAAAAAATACAAAACAACAAATTTGTTCGCTTGCCGACAGCGATCCCAGCACCCACAAAAGAGGCATTTCTTCGCGAGTAATTGAGACAAGTTGCCAGATCATGGGTGTGGGTGTGTGGCATATCTGGGAACTGGCATCCACTTCCCTCTCTCTCTCTCCCAAAAATCTAAAGCTTAACCCCGGGTTAGATGACCGGCGAATTTGCTGTCGCTGAATATTCATTTAACCACAAAACTATACGAGACGAATCGTAATCAAAGCGTTTCAGACTAGGTCAATACATGTATGAATTAAATACCCAAAAATACACGTATGTATGTATGTATGTATGTATGTAGGTATACGCATTTCATGTTAATTATGCTGATGCTGGGGACATTAATGAGGCTGTTACTATTAGGAAGTCACCTGATAAGCAGCATGAATCATTCACCCTCCCCACCCGAAAATGGGGTCAAGGTTATTCCACAACTTTTGAGGAAATAGTTTTTGCATTTTAATGCTCATAACAATGCGAAAATTCACACATCTTCGGCTGGATAATCATCTGGATGCTATTCCGTTGCTTATTTTATCGCCACAAATGCGGTAATTATACAGTTTTGTAATTAACATGTTTATTAAAGTGCTGCTTAAAATGCATATCACTTGATTGTTGTTTGGGGGGGGATGTGAACGGTCTGCCTTACAGTCTGTCGTTTGTCGTGATGTTGGCGTAGGTCTGAGTACCCCATCGTCTGGGCAATTGACTCCAACGGTATGGGGTTATTAAGGGTGTAATTGATCATTTTATTGGGCCCAAACATGAAACCTGTCGTTAATTTTAATCGCTTTTGCGTATAATGGTGGGAGTTTATTTTATTCTAAGGAAAATTCTTCGGTCTTATCGAACAGTTTTCTACTTCCGTTTGACATTTTTCATGGAACTGCTCACTGGCTGAAGTTAAACTGTGTTTATTACGATAATTACGATTACTTATCTGCTGACTGACGGATAACTGGATAACTCACCTCTTTTTACGCTCTTATCCTTGATCCGGCCTAACACAAATTAAACTGTTTGCTTTATTGATTTGATGGGGGTTATATATACTCTACTGATATTGGTTTATATGGTTATATTTCTTTACGATCGGTTCACTGTGTTTTTTGGTTGCCTTTTACTCACTTTCCGCTTTGTGTTGTTTTAGTGTCAATAAATGAAACTCCGTTAAAGTTTTTCGCTTGCACAAATTGTTGAACATAAAATAGATTTCGATTTTTGTTTTCAATTTCGATTGTTTCTGCTGTTGTTTCTGCACGTGGGCGTGGCAGTTGTGGGCGGGCGGCGGAAACGAATTCACTCTCATAACTTTACCCATGCGGAGGAGCAGATGCCGGAGCTGTGCTGGGCAAAAGGCAAAACAAAATCAATTTTTCCTCCTTCTGTTTTCCCACGAAAAAAGTTTTCACTTCGAATGACGCGCGTTATTATTATGATTATTATTAATTTATAATATTTTCAATATATTGTCTGCTCGCTGCTGCTGTTTTCCTTCGGATGAATTAATTATCTCTGCTGGCTGATGCTAAAGTGCTGATGACATTGCCGCTGGTCGAACGCGCTGCGAAGATTCTGGCAAGACATGAAAAATGTGTATTGGCTGCGGGAAAATAGCACACGCAACGCCGTCTCTCCACTTGACACACGCAAAAAAACGCCAAAGGGAAATTTAATTTCGCTATGTATTTTCGTAGTTGTTTATTCCGTCCAGTCGATGACTTTGATTTTATTTTTGGCCAACCCCCAAACGATTTGTGACGACAGCACGATCTGTGTGTGTGATCTGTGATCCGGGTCTGCTCTGGTTCGCTCTGCGACTGTTTGGGTCTGCCACGGGAGGCGCCAATTTATATAGCATATGACTCTAGCTCTGCTCTCTGCTGCTCTCCCAGTTTCGCTCTCCCATTCGGCTGGTCTCTCGTGTCCGCCTTATCGGTAGCTGTGCCTGTGCCTGTGCCTCTGCCAGCCTTTCCTTTCTTTGTCTTAGGAGCAGCAGTCCACTGGCTTTGTCAATTATTTGCTTAGATATTGCTACTATCTTTATTTGCATTAAATTTTATCTATGCAAATCCATTGACGACATGACAGTCCGAGTCCCAGTCCCAGCCCCAGCGCCGTGTTCGTGTGTAATTATGTTAATTCATTTATTAGCAAGGTTCTTGATTCTTGTGCAAACATTTCACATCGTTTGATCAGCCACTAGCAGCCCTGCAGCAGCAGCAGCAGCTGCTTAGATATTCTATTAAACATACATGTCTTAGCTTTACCCTCACGCTACCCTGCCCAGCCATACCTTATCCACTTGTCCACTCGCCCAACAACAAGGAACATACACATCTCTGGAAACGAGTTTTCCCAGGCGACAACGACAGCGACAACGACAGGTTTCAAAACATTCATGGGATATAGTTCGTACGTGTCCCGCACAGTGGCCGCGATATCATTGTTTTATGGGTGTACCAAAATCCCAGATTGGGGAGGGAAATTCCACTTGAATATTTATTCATTTATTTACTCATTTCCTTATCTCGTCGCTGATATGTACGGCACTTCGTTTATCAAATCACAGCAGTAGCCATCGATTGGCGGCACTTGAAAATCGAATTAGGGAACGGCGGGGCCTAATAATAGCTGGACAATGAAGATTTAATAGCCGTCAAATCGATCACATGATCTGGCATTGAAAAACAGCGGAGTCGGATCGTTAATATTTTTGGAAGAATCATTGTTATTCAAATAGCTAATGAAAGGGAAAACCTGAATAGGAAATATGAGGAACCAACAACCAGCCAATATTCATATTGATATCTCGCCCGTACTCATGTTTGATCTAGAATTTAGAGTCCATTAACAGACACAAATTGGGTATCGTTCCAGTCGAGTTGCAGCCATCTGAAGCGTGGCTTATCTGCCATATTTATCTTTAAATATATTCCAGATGCTATCAAACATATTACACATTTTGTTTTGTTTATACTTTCGGTTATTTGTAACTTTCCTACCCCTTCCATCTGGAGGCTCATTAAGATGCAAATTTCTGTGGCGATAGCATAGAATGACACACATCTTTTCCAACTGTCTGGTTTGTCTGTCTATCTATCTGTCTGTCTGTCTGTCTGTTTGTGCGGCTTGGATGGCTCAGCATCTCTCATATTTCGTGTGTACTGCCGTTTGTAGAAACTTTGCATTAGCTTGTTATGTATGTGCTTGATGGATAGCTAGTTGACTAGAACTATTAGCGGAAATCTGCGACATTTGCCCAAGACAATTTATCCGATTGGCCTGCCAGCCAATTGTGGCTGGAAATAAAGCACAGCAAATGATTTACAATTCAGTGGTTAGGCCCCCAAGTCGGCCAATTGATAACCGCAAAGCAGAGCAGAGGTGTCACAGCCGAATCCGAATCCGATTCCGAGTCCATTGACTTGTGCCACTCTCGTTCTCGTTGGGGGTCCACTGTGGTGGCAGCTCCGCTTGCTCTTTTAGGCAGATTTTCCGACACCCAAATCGAGCCAGAGCCAGACAGAGTCGAGAGCTGATGCAGAAAAAGCAGCGCCAAATTGTCGTCATTGCTCGCAAGGTTATCTCTCAGTCTGGATGGTTGTTGTGTGTTGTGTGTTGATAGGCACTGAGGCAAGCCTTCTCATTTGTGGGCTTATCTCCATAAATCTTATTGTTTGGCTTATATTTATACCAGGTGCAGAGCAGAGCAGAGCACACGGCAACGGATGCGCATAAATATAAGTTTTTGGCGTTTGATAAGCTGCAAAATAACAATATTCAGGTTTGTCGGAGTGCAAACTAAACTGATTAATCTCTATGGTGGAGGCTCTAAATAAATAGTTATTAAGACGATTCAAATTCGCAACGTGAATCGTGCTAGGCAAACAAAAAGCTAGCTGCTACACATCGAGCCGAGGTCTTTCATAGCAGCCAACTTTAATCGGATTTACCCGCAACGAACGCAACGAAAAGCCCCAAAAGTAGTCAGCAGTTTATGTCCATAGATAAGATTTGATAAAATAATATTGATGATTTTGGAATTTTTTAATATTTTTAATATTTTATTATTATTAAGTTTGTGCGAAAACAGAGCTCCATTAATTGGCTTTCAAACCCGCATGCAACATACCTAATTTGAGTACAGCCCCAAAAGTAGGCAACGCATTCGTATCGAATTTGAGTGCTCTGTGCGCCTTTTTGTGTATGTAAAATAGCATTAAAATCCATTGCCTACTTTCGGGAACGCAGACAAAATGCTTTGCTTTGCATTTGCTAAACTTAAAATTTAAAAAAATAATTGTTAAATACTTAAATAGTAAAAAATTACGGTATAAATTATTAATTTATTATAAATTCTTATGTTTAATCATAAATTAATTAAATTTGTTCAATTTGTTTGTACATTTGGGGGCCAGGTTCAAGGCTGCAGACGAATATCGCCCTAATAAATGTTTCCGCCTAATAATTCCCATTAAAATCGAAACATTGCCAAAAATTAAGTTTAATTTAGAACTCAAAGTAAAGCGAAGCCAAGAATTGCGACCGACCAAACCCGCTTTGGTTTGGGTTTAATTTCAATCAATTAAATTGCCGCTGCTCGCTGACCGCTCTTTGCCGATTCTCTTTTGAGCGCAACTTGAGTTTTGAGTGAGCAGAAGACGAAGACCTCCCCCATAAAAGGGAGCAGCGTTCCTTGATTCTCGGCAGATGCCTTCGATCGCTGCCGCGATAAGGAAATCCAAAGTGGACAACCAATATCCAAATAGAACCTCAGCTTAGCGTAGCGGCAGATCGTAGCACAGATAAGCCCGAGCGAGAGAATCTCAGATAAACGCGAGCACAAAACGGAACGTGTGCAAGGAACGGTTCTTCATCGGGCAGTGTTTTATTTTTGTGTAAAGTGCGAGAGGGGAATACAAAAACTCTTTTCTGCCGTCCCGCAAGACATTTGTTTAAGTCGCGAAGTGCCGTTTTTTCATCCCCCTCCCCCCTAATACATTCGTCTTCGTGAGCGGTCTCTTTGTGCGTTTGGTGTCCATGGTGCCGATTGATAACCTTTTGCAAAAACATATCTATCTGATACGAGTCAAGAAATACTTGAAAGGTTAGTGTGCCGCGTCGATTGGTGGGGCAAAGGCAGGGCATTGGAGCCCCCTTCCAATTGTGGATAAATCGCTGTTCCATGCTGAAATCATATTATGTGATTGCATCAGCTGGAAAATTGATCATCGGGTGCCCCATGGTCAGTGCCGGACTGCCTGACTTGTGCCTGTGCCAGTTCTCAATTCCAATAATTTGGAGCGCGGCCTGACGCCAATTCTGAACTCGAGAAGTGTCTGAGAATGTCTCTGGCTGTGGCTCTTATTTATGTTTCGGTTTTCTTTCTGATGTGTGCCCTTTTTGTATTTCTCTAGCAACACATTACGATGAAAGATTTGAAAGCGAAGACCCCATCGCCGAGCAGCCGCCGCAGCGTCTCCAAGCTGGAGTCCAGCACGGTTAGCACTAAACCAAAATCCATTGTTTATCCCCATTCCAAATTTTGTATCGTATTCAACCCTCCACCCCCCTCCAGTCTCTACAGAGCGGCGAGGCGCTGCTGAAGCCATCGATGCTGCCCAAGGCATTGGCATCGGCAGCGGCATCGTCTGAGGAGGAGCCCCTGCATCTGGAACTGAAGTCACGCGACAATTGGGGCAGCTCCCTGGAGTTTCTCATGTCATGCATCGCTCTGAGCGTGGGCCTGGGCAATGTCTGGCGCTTTCCGTTCACCGCCCTGGAGAACGGTGGCGGCGCCTTTCTGATCCCCTATCTGACGGTGCTGTTTGTGGTGGGAAAGCCGATTTACTACATGGAAATGCTGCTGGGCCAGTTCTCCAGTCGCGGCATTGTGCAGGTCTTTGACTTTGCACCCCTCATGAGGGGTAAGTTGTGCTCCTCTCCCCTCCCCTGCCCCTGCCCTGGATGTGATGACACTTCTTGCACTTTCTTGCAGGTGTGGGCTATGCTCAGCTCTTGGCCTTGGGCGTTTTGGCCACATACTACGCCTCGGTGATGGCCCTCACGCTGCGCTACTTCTTTGACTCGTTTGCGGCGGTGCTGCCCTGGAGCTACTGTCGCCCGGAATGGGGCGATGGGTGTGTGAGTGCCGCCAGCGATGGACACCAGCCGCAGGTGGGACAGCTGTCGCGGAACTTTAGCTCATCCTCGCAGCTCTACCTGCAGCGCATTGTCCTCAACGAGACGCAGTCGCTGGCAGAGCACGGCATTGGCTATCCCAGTGGCAGCCTGGCCCTGATGCTGGCCCTCTCCTGGCTGACGGTCACACTGATCATCATGCGGGGCGTGAAGAGCTCTGGCAAGGCCTCGTATGTCCTGGCGCTGTTCCCCTACGTGGTCATGCTTATCCTGCTCGTCCGTTCGCTCACCCTGCCGGGCGCCTACGACGGCGTCATGTACTTCCTCACGCCGCAGTGGGACAAGCTGCTGGAGCCGGAGGTGTGGTACAATGCCGTCACTCAGGTGTTCTTCTCGCTGGCCGTCTGCTTTGGCGTGATCATCATGTACTCCTCGTACAACCGCTTCGGGCACAATGTCTACAGGGATGCGAATATCGTGACCACGCTGGACACCTTCACCTCCCTGCTCTCGGGCGTGATTATCTTTGGCATCCTGGGCAACCTCGCCTACGAGTCTGGCACGAAGGACATTGGCAGTGTGGTCAGGGCGGGACCGGGCCTCGCATTCATCTCGTATCCGGAGGCCATTGCCAAGTTCAAGATGATGCCGCAGATCTTCTCGCTGCTCTTCTTCGCCATGCTCTTCATGCTGGGCGTGGGCAGCAACGTGGGCATGGTCAGCTGCATCATGACCGTGCTGAAGGATCGATTTGTGAACGCCAAACTCTGGCTGATTGTCGTCGGCCTCTCGCTGACCGGCTTCGCCGTGGGTCTCATCTACATCACGCCCGGGGGTCAGCACATCGTAACACTGCTGGACTTCCATGGCGTGACCTTTGTGTCCCTGGTGTCGGCCATCTTTGAGCTTGTGGCCGTCGGCTGGATCTACGGTGAGTGGGCGCACCTTTTCCGACATACTTCTGACTTTTGTTTCGTAATTTTAGGCACCAAGCGACTCTGCCAGGATGCGGAGTACATGCTGAACATCAAGACATCGAAATACTATCGCATCTGCTGGTCCATTGTCACGCCCCTGGTGATGACTGTCATCCTGCTGTACACCCTGTTCACCATGCGTCCCTTGCGCTACAATGGACAGGAGTTTCCCCTGCCCTATCGCGGTAATGGCTCTCCCTCTCACATGTCTCCCCTCCCTGAGTCACCATTCTGTTCATTTCAGTATTCGGCTGGTGCATCTCGGCCCTCATCATTGGCCAACTGTTCTATTGGGCCTGTCATGCCAACTACAAGCAGCCCAAGGGCACCCTCAAGTGTCGCATCAGCAACTCGCTCAAGCCCCATTCCGATTGGGGGCCATTGGACTCCAAGCAGCTGATCGACTATCAGATGTTTCGACGCAACCAAAAGGAAGTCACTGCCACTGCCACTGCCAGTGCCAGTGCCAGTGCAGGTCTGAAGCCACGTCGCTGGCTGTGCTACAGCGTGGGAGATCGCATCTTTGGCTGAAGAGGAATCGTATATAGAGACCCGCTCTATATAGCAATTATTCCAACAATCATTTGTAATCTTTATTCCTTCAGTGGGAAAATCTCTTTAGGTGTTTAGGGCATTGTACTTAATAAATGTTTTCTCTTTTTTATACTCTTCAAGTTTTGGTAGTCTGCTAAGCCGCAGTGGAAGAGAGAGCGAGAGGGAATGACCGAATATGTCTGCTGCCACGCACATAGAATGGATATTGTATTTGTCTTATATTAATTTTAAACACTTTCCAGCTGCCTGCCAACTTAAAGTTTGAATTTTCTCATTTCTCATTTTTCACATTTCAATTTGCAGTGAAAATGTTTACGTTTTTCTATGCTACTCATTCGAGGCTGACATCCACAAATTGGTTTTAATGGCCAAAAGGTAGCACAATCTATGCGACAGAGAGACAGATAGACAGAGAGACAGAGAGAGAGACAGAGAGCTTAAAGTTTATCTAAGCCATTTTCAATATTTAAAACTAACAATTAGCATGCACTCCACTCCACTGCACTGCATGCTCCTCTTCTCCACTTCCTCTATCAGCTTCTCCTCCTGCTCCTCCTGCTCCTTTTTTTTTAGGAGCAATGCAGCATTTGTTTACGTCTCTGGCACTGCACTTTGCATCCGACCAGACATTTATTTGAGTTTCAATTTGTTTTCCCAAGTTTCACACACACACAGACACACTCGACTTTGCATTTGTGTGTGTGTGTGTGTGTGCGTGTGTTCTGCGGCAGTTGTTGCAAATTAATATGTCGGGCGGCTCTCTGGACCTGCAAATGTCTTAATTAAAAGTTATTTCGGGCATTGCCGAGGAGCGGTCGCATGGGGCAGGGGTACCAACGAATTCCAGCAATAAATTGTGTTTTAGTTGTCAAGGACAGGCGGCTATACCAGTCAGTCAGTCAGTCATTCATTCATTCAGTCAGTCAGTCAGCCATTCGGTTGGTTGCTTGACATTTCATTTGTTGTCATCGCTCACAGAACGCATTAAGTATACGCCGCTTGACGGCACTCAAGCGCTGCAGTGAGGGGGCTACAGCATACACTCAGCAACGGCAGAGCCGAGTGGGAGGGGTGGGGGGTGCAGCTGTGCACTGCACTGCTTTGCACAAAGACAACGGCAGAGGAAATTAAAAAAGTTGCCATTTCTAAATGGCTTACGCTCTGGATATCACGCGGGAAAGGTGCAAGAAAGCTGCAAGAAACAATATCAGCGCTGGGCAAAAAAAACAACTTGGCCAGCAGCAGAAACAACAACAACAACAACACAAACAAGCAAAGCAACTAACAAGCATTGAAGTTTAATAAAAAAAATCCCTCTTAAAGGAGTCGGCACCACCCGCCCCCCCGAAGGCCAGCCCTGCACAGGATCCGGCTCCTGCTCGGCAACTAGAGAGCACCTCTCTCTGCTTGGGTGTCAGCTCCGGCTGCAGCTAATGAAATAACTTTGTGGCAACTTTTGCCATGGCCGGAATTTTGCTTAAAGCGCAAATAAAATTGCCAAGATTGCAACGGCAACGGCAGCGGCAACGACAGCAGCGTCAGCGTCTCCTTCCAGCAATCAAAGGCGCCTGAAATATTTAAACTGGCAAAGGGTTAAATCCACTTTCGCTTAAAGCGCTCAAATCATTTACAATAAACGGAAAGCCAACAAAAAGAGGCAACAATTTTGGGGGCGCGTGCCTTGCAGCAGACAGTTGCAGCAACAGGAGCAGGGTAACGGCCAGGCCACCCATCAAAAGTAAAGTAAATGAAAAATAAACTGAAAACCTGGTATCCCGTTATAGGAGTACAGGAATATAGAAATTCTTTACGCTAGTTTTTCTGGAATTTTTGCAGCAACCTAATTGCTTTTCGTGAGCTCGCCAATTACATGAGAAATTTAGTTTTTAAAGTTTATTAACGTTAAGGCTCTCAGCAAGAGTTTTCTTTTCGTTTTTATTTCATTTTTTGTGAATTAACAAATTTTGTGTTGATTCTGCCACGGAGACAGCAACAGCAACGGCGACAGCGACAGCGACAAACGATGCAGACAGTGGGGTGGGGGCTGGGGGCTGGGGCTGAGGAAAAAGCTGCTCGTGATGCGTGATGGCAGCGGGAATCGTTTTGTGACGTTTTCCCCGGCACACACATTTTTGTTTTGCATTTTGCCATCTGCATCTCCATCTACTGGCTGCCTCTTGCTTGCTGCTGCTACGTGCCCCGCTTGAGTGATTCACCTGCTCGACGATGACGATGACGACGACGACGACATTTGCATTTTGCATGCGACGCTGATGCTGGAGCTGCTGCTGCTGCTGTAGCCTCCATCTGATGGAGACACAGGTTGTGGTTGAGGTTTAGGGTTCGGGTTCGGGTTCGGGTACGTAGCTGCTGGTAATGGCTGCGACAAGCATTAGGGAATTATTTTAGAGACCTCCTCGCATGTGGTGGCCATTAAAGGACTGGCTGGCCTGGCTGTTGCCACGGCGGCTGAAGCTGAAGCTGACGATTTGATTTGTTGGCAGAAACAAAAAAAAACACAAGCTAAAAACTGGATCCAGAAACCAGAAGCCAGAAAATACACAGTGCCAGAAAAGGCAGAGAGCCAAAGTCGAGCTGGCAAAAATCTTCTTCCTCTACTCCTTTTATTGTAATCTGCATTTAAGTGGCTTTTCTTTTGTGCAGCAGCCACCGCCAATCGTTCGTGTGTCAGGGGTGGGGGAAATGCCGTACCATTTTTTACACCATTTTTTCGCCACCTGGTATTTGTTTTTTGTATTTTTTTTTTGGGTACACCTTTGCCCAATTTGGTGCACTTTTCTTGGCGACGACCATTCGACGGTAGCAATTTTTCGGCTAACTGCCGCTCGTTTGAAATGCTAATATGCAACTTTTGACGCGATTGCCGTTTGTCGAATTTCCTCACAGTTTTCACCCGGTTTTTCCCCGGCAATTGCCAGACAATTTTATTTTCGGTTACGCTTATGGCTACCAGATAAGAGCTGGAACCTGCCAGCCCAGCCCAGCCCAGCCCAGCCCAGCCCAGCCACTGCCGGATATGCTTTGCCCCAAAGACATCAAAAGAGTTTTTTTTCGAAGCGGGCGAGGAGAGGGCCCGCTGCTGCTGCTGCTGCTGCTCTTAAAGTGAACTTTAAAACTGGTTTAACCTTCGTTTGCAGTGCTCGTCAAACTGTAATTCTGAATTTTTTGCCTGACTCCAAAGAGAGGGAATTACTTTCGGCATCCGGGCAAATTGATTGCCATCTGTGGGGCCGTAACTCCAACCAAGGCTCTGGCTGGCTACTCCTGCTGCTGCGGCTCCTCCTACGGATGCTTCTGCTGCTGCTGCTCCTCCTTCTTCTTCTCCAGTGGCATGCAATTTTCATACAATGCATACTGTGGCCCTTCTACTGTGCATTTTTTGGTGAATAAACGTAAAAAATTTCCATATAAACTGCAGGCTGACTCTCTCCCGCTCCTCCCACTGCCAATTCAAGTGCAAATATGTTGGCAGGCCGCGCACTTGAGTGTCAAGTTGCACGGGGCACACACACAGACACACACACACACACACACACATGAAACGCAATTGTTATGAATTGGCCGAATGCTGGAGCGTTGCATGCCACACACCCCACCGCACCGCACTGCAGTGGGGTACAGAGAGCAAACATCATCCGTAGGTAAGGTGATGGCGTCACGGAAAACCGGTATGCAAATGCAAATGGATAGATCAAACAGAACAGAACACAGAACAGACATCATGACACAGAACAGGAGCGAATGCTGATTGTTTGGCTGGCATTTAAAAGCAAGTGCCGAAATATATATTCACCCAACAACACAATTGAGAGTGGAATGGACTTCGACCGATTAAGAGAACCATCCATGCATCCATCCATCTACTATGCAGCATGTCCATCAAGCATGGACTTTAAAAGATAATTACTCCACATTTCCCTCTCTCTCTCTCTCTCTCTATGAAAAGATTACTCAATCAAAGAAGCCTTCTGGAAGCCTTCTTTAAAGCCATCAATCGCTTAATACTCTGCCATATCCGTGTTGCACAGCTCTCCTTCAATCTTTTGTTGCCATGGGAGCCATGCAGCCTTGCCAGCCTTGTTTACTTGTTGTTTTGCCCCCATTGCTGTTTGTTTCCACCTTTGGGTTTTCTGAGCTTCTTGTTATTGTTTGTGACACTCGCAAAAGTCTCAGAGAGGCTAAGCCCCGGCAGGACCAGCAACAGCAGCAACAGCAGCAGCTGTCAAAAAATTGGAAAAGAGAGAAGTTTAACATCCGAAAAGCTCTAAACGCACTGCTAAGAACAGGCAACAATAACAGGCAGAGTGGGACAAAAGGAACTCTGCGCTGCAGCAGCAACAGCTGGTTCTCGTTTTCGTTCTCGTCCTCGTTCTGGGCGTCGTACGTACTGTTTGTAATCCTGGCCACACACAGCCGCCACAGAGCAGCAGCATCAGCAGCGTTGATTGGCCAGCGCCGGAAAAAGAAGTTATAACCATCAAGGCGGAAACGGATGTGGCACAGACGTTTCCGCTTTTCCACACAGTCAGCAGCAGCAACGGCAGCAGCAACGGCAAAAAAGAGAGCACAAAATTATATTTTAACCCCTGCATACACACACACACACACACACACACACACGGCGCATACATTTGGGGGATACTGTGGAGATACAGGAGGAGCCTGCCACCGCACAATGCCTGTCAAATAAAATCATTTTGCATTGCAAATAGCACAAAATAGAAGAGTATATGAAAACGGCAGACCCAGCGAAGGGTTAGAGAGGGGATAGTAAGAAGCGGGTGGGATAGTAAGAAGAGTAGAAAGGGGAGGCTATGGAGGGTTGGGCTGCGCCTTCTCAGTGCATTTAGCGGCTAACCGCAAGCACTTCTAATCAAAATATTAAAGAATTTCCTTATGGTCTGCCTTCTGCCTGCTGCCTGCTGTCTGCGGTCTGTGGTAATGTTTAAATTTGTGCAAGTTTTGCTGCTGCTCCAGCCATACGCCTTCTGCCGCCTTCTTCTAATTGAATGAGCCAATGAGTCTTGGTCTCCGATGCGACGACTTTGTTGTGGCTTTTCCTTACCCCAAAAACATTGTTTGTTCTTCCT